AATGTTTAGTGCAGGTTGCAAGACCGATTACCTCTTCAATTCATTCCAAGGTGATTATTCGTAGAGATGGTCCAAAGGCTATCAAATATGCAGTCGATATATTGCACTACGACATTCCAAGCACAAATAAGCCCATACTGTACTGTGAAATGGTGACTATCATTGTGGAGAATCCAGTAATTAACAAAACTCGATTTGCTGTGGAAGATACAAAAATCTTTGTAGTTGAATGCACCGGAAAGGTCAGATGTGATGCAAGCCGTCAGTGATGGAACTCATGCCCGAAAAACAATGCCGGAAGTGCAGATGGTCTGATTTCCCAGATTTGAGCACTATCGGTCCTACTGTTGTCATTGGCAAAGACATGGATTTGCTTGTCATACTGTTATCGCGCAAATCGCTTAGGCACACCAGTGGGACGCTTGTTTTTGCGAACAGAAAAGAGAAACGCCAGACATAAACTGTGGGACATTGGACATTTATACAAGACCCTTGGTGAAAATATTTGTTCAAGGCTACCCATTAAAAGGATGGATAGTGCAATATTTAGGGGAAAAGCAATTGTTTCTTGAGCTGAAACATGTTCAAGCCAGAGTGAGATTGGTCAAGCTGTTGAAAAAGCTTCGGTCTGCCTCCACGGCCTGGACACATTGAGACTGCGAATGTTCGAGGAGAAAATGGTGACAGACACTTCTGTTGTTGAAGTAAGGGTCTTACTCCCTGATTTCTGGCTCCGTGAAATATCATTCCTTACGCGTATTTTTGCAAGTTTGATGCTGGATGGGGGATGATAATAGACTGAATCCAACGGACTGGGTTTGGGAATGACGAGGTGAAACTCAATTGGGCCGTCGCATTTACTAAAGGTGGTTCGCTGTACATGTAAGGGAGAGTGCGCCACAAAGAAATGTTCCTGTCGTCGATATGGACTAGAATGCATGAATGTGTGCGCAAATTGCAAGGGAGAGACGTGCGAATTCCACAAGCCCTGTGGTACTGGATGAAGAAGAGTTGGAAGAGACAGTTTGGATGGAAATTGGACTTGCTTTTGGTGTTGATTGGCTGTAATACATAAATTCTCTTTATTTTCGCCTCTTTTATTGTTGACATGAGCAATGCCACTGTGACGTCAAGATGAGACCTTAATGAATTATGTTAATTAAGGCATTTCGCTTCGGCTGATTTCCGTTGAATTTGAGTATGATGTTATCTGATATATGTATGATCGAACCAAACTTCATTAGTTTCTTTTGTTTTTTGCAATATGTTTGGGGTCACTCCACTTTTTTTTCTTTTTGCCCTGTTTATACTGTCTTTCCTTGACATACGTTTTCCTAATGGTAAGTGCAGGAGTACTGCACTACACACAAACAAACACATTAGACAAATCTATTAACATATGGGGATCACATGGCTAAGTGGGTAAGACGCTGGCTCGCTAGCCTGGAGGTCAGGTGTTCGATCCCTGCATTGGCCGAGAAAGTTCATCCAGATTTTCCGGCGTGGTTCCCCCTTGTCAGTGATGCAGGACAGAGGGCCTGGCAAGGACAGCTGTCTAGTCCTTCGGATGAGATGCAAAACCGAGGTCCTGTGTATACATTGGAATGCACGTAAAAGATCCCTTGGCAGTTGGAATTCGATATAAGAGTAGGTGATAGTGCAGAACAGTAGGACGTTAAACCCCATTTCATTTCATTTCATTTCTATTAATATATACAAGTATATAACCATATACAATGTATTGGAAAACATATTATTCCTATTACTTGGAAAATAAGCCTGTTACCCAAATATTTAAAAGAGATTTGTGAGTAATGTGCTGAGAAAGAAACCTCATGCTTAATATAATAACTTGATTAATTTATTGCTGGTTTATCAGGAAATGGTTTTTGGGATTTCTTGGTGTTAATAATATCGATTTCCACCTATGGTGATATCATAGACGTTTTCTGACGTCTTTCTCTCTATAGCTGGAGGCTGATGTCTGCTTCCACTGAGAGTGATATCGCAGAAAAATGGCCAGACATGAATGATAGGTCAAGGCTAAGTGTATAGGAACAATAGGATGTTAAACTCCATTTCATTTCCGCCATATACATGAGTGGTTCGCAGTCTTACAAGCGTAGGTTGGTTGCAACCCCACTCAAGAAGCCATCATCTGATCACAACCCCTCGAAGAACAAAGTCACCTTTCACTATGAAACATCATCACTATTTACAGATCAAAATGTTGTAATGAAAGATTGAGGAAACAAATAGTGAGCGCGAGAGAGGAAAGACGATTGGCAATATGGCAAGAGGTGTATAGATCAGAGATTTATATGCTTTTCATGAAAACATAGCATTTTTTCAAAAGTTTCAGAGTAATCCGCCATGACCCCACAAAAAGTTGGTAACTCGGGATATATATAGGGATAGGAAAGGGAGAACAAAACAGAAAATTGCTGCCCAGACCCAAAGTAAATATGTGCCGTTTTGCTGATAGGGATCTAAATTCTAAAATAACCTTATCAGAACTGCACGGGATGTGGGCAGAAACATGCTGACTGACATTGCTTCGATCTAGGTGTGTGCTGCAGTTTAGCACTGACTGGCCAAATTACCCGCACCATCCCAATGCAAAGCTAATAGGTACAACTGTCTAAGAGATTCATGTACAAAACCAAATGGCACTTTCCATCACAGGAAATCCAATCATCACATGATTCCCAACCAGTGTGGTGTCAAAGAGAACTTTAGCTTGCCACTGAGTGCAATAGTCATCTTTTCTGTGAGGAGGTCAGATTAATCTCTGAAAAGACTGATTGACTAGTTTAACTTCTAATTCCATGGTATTTATATAACAGACTACCTCTGAAAATATTGTGTATATTTACATACAGGCATTTATTTCTACAAATCAGATGAAAGATAACAGGGATATAGATAATTATTATCGTAAAAAAAAAATCAAATTAAATTTCATTGGATGAAGTCAATAACACTAAATATTTTATAGTAGATTTGACTGTATTGTTAATTTCATAACCATTGCTTGAGATAATCTCGATGATATAACACAGTTTAAATCACTGACACATGGGTACATGTATTATAACACTGACAGACAAGGTGTAGTACACTAAACTTAGGATGTCTGTCTACAGTTAGCTCCGCTTGAGAACAGACACTAAGCTAGTTGGCCAACATTTTAAGTAATAAATCGATGATTTTAGTTGAAAACACTAAGTATACTTCAAGAATTTTATTGAGTATTCATTCTTCTTCCATTTAATAAACAGATGTGAAACGGAGTAGAAATGCATTACCAAACAATATACTAATTTTTGAATATGGCGTCTATTTAGGGCAGAGATCTATTCTTGAAGCATAAAGTAGATGGATCTCTGTGTGCAGAATGGGTATAGTAACAATCTTGAGAGGATTATATCTTAGATAGCTGCAATGTCAGTTATATTCTCTGTATATTAAAAATATGTTGTAAAGAAATAAATAGTGGAAATAAATCCCACATCACTGTACAAATACTTATGGAGCACATTGAACATATAATTTGATTTTTCTGGTCATCGCAAATTATGAATAATACAGGAACTGTTATGTTTGAGAGAACATAGGTTTAAGGCTTCAAGGCTAGCTTTAAAAGCACATGACAGTCTTTGGAAATTTAACAGCTTGGAATTCAATGACAAAAGTCAAATTATACACATTTCTTTAAATGTGTTTTAGACTTTATTATTGTGTACAATATGGAAAGTTTCAGTGGGTTAAAAAAAAAAGAAACCCACCAGCAGCTTTGTGGAGGAAGGTTGCAAGAAAAATAGGACATTACAGGATGGTGCTCACTCGAAGAAGGGATAACACTATCTCAATACCTTGAGAATGACCAAGTGTAAACAGAATACACCCCTAAGTCACAAATATCATTTCAGTGATTAATAACTGAACTGTATGAACTTGGCTTAACACTAGATTGTCTCTTTAATAAATATACTACATTTATATACTTACCAATAATAACTTAATCCCTTCTTTGTCTTTTAACTTCCAGTATCAATTCAATGACGTCAACATTACTTACCAAACAAAAACACATCAATAACATCTCAACCAATCAGTTATAGTACGGCTCTCAAAATATTGGCGCATTTTGAAAACAAGAGGCTTCTTTTATTTTCAAATTCCACTTGAACTTTTTTTTTTTGCATAGATCAATACTGAGCAAGTTCAAAATTTAAGACAAAATTTCCAAACAGTTACTGAGAAGCTGACGTCTAATGAATTTGTAATTACAGATTGTACACACTTTATCCTGGTGTTCATGGAATTATGTAAAATTTTGTTTTGTTTTAAGTGATAATACCCTTTTAAGAGCAATCAATACTTTTGCTTAATCTCTATTCATAAATATATCAGTATCAGTACAATGTACAAAGATGGGAATTTATTAACAGGCTTATTTTAGCCTTTTATATAATTATGTCTATTAGGGAAATTTTTATTAAGAGATTAATTGAGAAATGGGAGGATATATGTGTGTGTGTGGGTGTGTGTGTGGGTGTGTGTGTGTGTGTGTGATGATGTAGTTTTGTACAGGTTCATGAAGTATATTCATGAATGAGGAAGCATGTGTATAATTGTGAATAGTGCGGACATGATATATTGTTTAATCGATGTATCGCGATTCACCTTCTGAATCGATTTATCATGATTCTTTTTATATGTCCACATGAAAATTATGCTGTCGTCCCTGTCTGGCCATCCATAAAATCGCGTTTTTATGTCACTCTTCATTATCTACGTCACACATTTATCCATAGGTACAGAAACATTCATAAATGATTTAGTGATGTGTTGATATACATACTGTAATGATAATAGGTTTATTACAATGTGTGCAAAATAATGTTTGTGGATGTTTATACAGTTTCTTTTGTTAAAATTTGCAACATATATAACCAAATTAAGGATATTATTTTTTTTTTTATTACTATACTCACTGCGCAATTATCAACCAGTACAAATAATTTCTCTGTTAGTTCTACAATACTTGACATCTTTTCCTTAAAAAAAAAAAATAAACAAAAAAACATTAATGACATAACATAATTATATATTCCAGATTTTCTGAGTTATTTCACATCATATACAATAAACAGTGGTCTTTATGAAAAAGTATATTGACCCCAAAATTATTCAAATTAATCAATCCTTGGCTATCTCAGGTTTCCGTTTATCGATTTCATGCTGCCATCTTATTTTTTCTAAAACAATTAACCAACACCTGAACAATATTTTATTTTTATCCATCATCTTTGAGGCCAAAATAGCATTTAATCTATGTGTTTTATTTTAAATGTCTGATTTCTCAGACAGGTGTTGATTTGAGTGCTATCGGTCCTACTGTTGTCATTAGCTAAGACATAGATTTACTTGCCATACTGTGTTATCGGACACACCAGCGAGACGCTTGTTCTTGCGAACAGAAAAGAGAAACGCCAGACATAAATTAAGTATCTGCTATAAAGTGCCCAAAAGTGCAATGATGTTACATTATAGTAGCATGCAGTGTGGGTCATAGATACTGCTGGGATATCATAATCATTCTCTAGTATACCTGATGCTGTATCACACTAGTCTCTTGTTGACACTTGGGCAGCATTCAATTCTGAATTAGTATCCAAATTTTAACTTGGGACAGTGCTCATTTAGTGCATATGTGGTGGTATGATGTATGATAGGTTGCCAGGGAACAAAACATACACCGACAGCATCTACATCATCCGAGAAGTCAACAAGGATTGTCTAATGTTTATAACTTTATGGGTAATGGCAGCATTTACAAGATACTGATATATTCAATTTCATACAGATCAGATGATATTTGTTGTCATTAGAGTGTTGTCAAGGTTCTACATAGCCAAATGAGGGCCATAAGATGTAATTAACAGAAATTGTTGAAATTCAATAGGCTTCTTCGTTTTACCAATTCAAGTAATGCATATCAATTTAATACATATAGGCTTCTCCGTCTCCCTAATATAATGTGACCAACATATTTAAATTGTAAACAGATCAGATGATAAATGTAGTCTGTAGAGTATTTACAAGAAATTGACAATGGACAGACGTACATGTATGGATAGGGGCGATGACAATATTTGAGACCAATCATTTTCATGTGAATGTATAAAATTTTTAAAAGATAGGTTGCCAGGCAACAAACCATACGCCCACAGCAGCTATATCGTCCGGGCAGTCAACAAGAGATGTCGCATATTTTTTCCTTTTTTTGGTAATGAAACATTTATAATACATTAAAATCTGATTAAGAGTAACAACTCATTAAGTAATTATCAGAAAACCATTAGAATTTGTTTGGTTTTTATAAAGTTCTGTCCCATGCTAATGTTTAGTATACAAAACTTTTAACATCATGGATTTAGCTGTTCAAGTCATAAAGATTCGTTGAAAATCAATATACATGTTCGTCTCAAGACCTTAAACTCTGTGTACCAATCTGAAGTCAATCTGATGATAACTTTAGCCTCTAGAACATCATAACATTTTTCAAAGTGATCAAGGGCCATAACATTGGCAGTAATTATCCGAAATCGTTGAAAATCAATATGATTCTTCATCTCATGACCTCAAACACTGTGTATAAATTTAAAGTCAATCGGATATTAATTTTAGCCTCTACAGCGTCCACAAGATTTTTCAAAGTGATCAAGGGCCATAACTCTTTGTGTCTTTGTGTCATGACCTTAAACACTGTGCATAAATTTAAAGTCAATCGGATATTAACTTTAGCCTCTAGAGCGTCCACAAGATTTTTCAAAGTGATCAAGGGCCATTACTCTGGCAGTATTTATTGGAAATCGCTGAAAATCAATAGGCTTCTTCATCTCATGACCTTAAACACTGTGTATAAATTTAAAGTCAATCGGATATTAACTTTGACCTCTAGAGCATCCACAAGATTTTTTGAAGTGATCAAGAGCCATAACTCAGGCAGTAATTATCGAAAATCGTTGAAAATCAATAGGCTTCTTCGTCTCATGACCTTAAACACTGTGTATAAATTTGAAGTCAATCGGATATTAACTTTGACCTCTTAGAGCGTCCACAAGATTTTTTGAAGTGATCAAGGGCCATAACTCTAGCAGTAATTATCGGAAATCGCTGAAAATCAATAGGCTTCTTCGTCTCATGACCTTAAACACTGTGTATAAATTTAAAGTCAATCGGATATTAACTTTAGCCTCTAGAGCATCCACAAGATTTTTTGAAGTGATCAAGGGCCATAACTCTGGCAGTAATTATCGGAAATCGATGAAAATCAATTAGACCAGAGGGAGGAGGATTGTCACCCGAGAGGGGGAAAAATCTGAGTTGACTTTTCTAGAGGCATTTTTCGTCAGGAATCCGAATCTGGTAGGTAAAAAGCCAGGTGAGGGGGCGTTTCCGAGATAATCGAGGTCAAAGGATAATTATGATGAGACAAAAGAGAACACGAGTGGGGGGATTCACACGAAATAGGTTGGCAAGAGCGCGACACTGGCACGGTAGCCCGCAGCTCAGTCCCTAGCTCTGATATCGAAAAGAAGAGAGAGTACCATTCTCGACCTCTGCCACTCCCGGCCGTGAAGCTCAATCCTCACGCCCCGCCACCCGCACTCTCATCACAATGACCAGTCGACATTGGCGATTCGTGAACAGGAACGTGAATTATTTCTTTGGAAGATCATGAGAAACAATTCCGGACTTCAGAACCAAGATGTGCCGACTTTCAGTGGACACATACGCCAACCCAATGAGACCGAAAACTGATATGACATTTCTTCCTCCCATAATGCGTCCGATCACCGATTACGCCACTGTCACGGAATGTATTTATCAGTCACAGAAAATGGCAGATCACAGCATCATGAAATACGTTCATATCGTGGTTGATGTAGGGGCTGCTGCTAAATTTTACCATGTAATCTGGAACAATCCCAACACGATCGCAAATGTCTTGATCCATCTCGGTGATTTGCATGCCTTCATGGAGAATTTCGCAGTAGTCGGGAAGTTTGTTCAAGGGAGATCGTCCTCCAATCCGGTGAAGCCCATTCTGGTACTGTACGTCATATTTTGAGCGTCAAGCATTATAACCGTGCATGGCGTATACACGAGGCGTTTGCTGAATCTATTTGTCGCTTGTTCATGTCGGCTAACATGAGTGACGAAATAGTCCAGATATCGGAGTTCATCGCAAATCTACCACAGCAATGCGACACTCGCCAGGCGCTCGTACGCAGCGGAATCCTGGATGAAATACTGGAAAAATACTTGTCGCTGAAAGCAAAACGAACTACGCCCGCTATGGGTCGTATTACTGCCAGCAGATGTTGAACATGGACGACACTCACCCAGGCACAAAAGAAGAATTCTCGTTGGTCTCGATCTCCCGGAACGACGATGGTATCGGTCAGAGCATAGATGCTGGTGGAAAGCAGACGTTCATGCGAACTGCCAAAACAACAGGTGGCATACGAAATCTGTCGCATCGCCCCGACACGTACGAGAAATGGGTCCGAAACCGGCCATATGCTGCTGCAATGGTGGAAGCACTGTCTCAACTAGCTGATATGAATACATTCGCAAATCCGCGGACGTGTCTTCGACCGAGCAAGATTCTAAGATCCGAGAAAACCGTCCGAAACATCATGGAAACGATCAGCCAGTACTTCATTACGCCATTTGACAACACACTCAGTCCAGATCTCTTGTACAACCTAGTGTCCGGTAAGCCTTTAGAACAGACCGCCGCCGACTCTTTGTTGTCGTGTTACCAGCGAGGATTGGACCAAGTCGCGAAGTTCGCTGATCGCATATCGAAGAAAGATGGTGCGTTGGCCTTTTTCGACCCTATACCACGCGTACCGTGGAAGTCTTTTCAAGACGGCGTTACGAAATCCAAAGTGAAATCTAGAAATGGTAAGGTGAAAGATATCGCTCTTGAAAGAGACATTCTGGGTATTCTAGCAGCAAAATCGGCCGAACTGGAGAAGCCCATTGACTTTCAAACTGCCTTGACGTATCCACTGGCCCCGGGTCCTTGTCGTTGGCATCGGCGGATGAAATTCAAAGAAAAACCGTGAAATCCAAGTTGATATCCGCACTGAAGATACCGACAAGTAACGAGGCTCCTTCTGGCAATGGCTTTGTGTACATCTTAGATGTCATTGCCCAGATTCGCGCCATGGTTAATGTTCCAGATACGTTTAGACAGTTGACGAGACGCCTTCTGAACGACATCCCGCCCAGGTACAAAATTGTTTACCTGGCGTGCGATAGGTATGATACAGTAAGCATAAAGAATGCTGAACGTGCTCTCAGAGGAGAAAGCCAAACCACCGAATACTCAATTTCTAAACCCAACATGAAGATCCCGGAAATAGCCAATTTCATGAAAAATGGAAACAATAAAAAACAAATGTTGGAGAGGATCAAGGACGTCCTCATTGAAGTAAAGGACCGCCTCAGTGACAGAATTCTGTATTACACCGCGGGGTCGACCTGCATAAAAATCACGGCGAAAGAGTCCTTGACTGTGGAGGATTTGTCCACTGACCACCTGGAAGCGGACACAATGATCGCCTATTTGGCGAAGCATGCGCTGGACACAAATATGCGAGAACCGACAGTATGCGTCATCAGGTCCCCCTCGGAAGATATCGACATCCCGTGATTCTAGCAGTTTACATCACGACAACCTGAAGCTGTACGTGGACAATGGTACAGGGAAGGCCAGAAAAACAGAGCACTATCAGTAGTGAATGTCAGCGCGATATAAATGCATATATTTTTATTATTATTATTAAAAACGCTGCACATCAGTGATTCTTCAATGTGGGCGTATAAAAATTAATGTACATATTGGCACTTCTGGCAAGCATAAAAATACAAAATGCAGACAAATTGATGACTAATGCCTGCAAATAACTGTATAAATTTTTATTCTCATATTTAATTATCTGCTGCTACTTCCACCTGTTTTGTAGCTTTGATAATT